AAGCCGAGACTTTGCCGTCATGACTGCTGGAGAGCGAAGAACCATCATTTACGAAAAATTCCAAAGAACGCTAACCCAAGAAAGGTGGGCAGCTGAGATACTATTTAAGTTGTATACAATACTGTTTGGATCTTGCTGAGACATCCCATGATTTGGTTGGCCACAGCATGCCTATGGTGATTAAAACTCTAGTTCAGGATTTACTGATAGCCGTGAGGCCTGCTTTCTATGAATAGATTTCATGCTTACTCTAAAAAGCTGATGTATGAACAGGATTGGATGTAATCACAACGTATGATCCTGTGGTGACGTCTACTGTCGTAGACTTATGGATGCATGTGCAATTTGCCTATGCTGTACCCATGAGTAAGTTTATAGGTTTTTTAATCTTTCTCTTACTCGGTGGTTCCTCTGGATCTCTCACCCTCCCCCCAATTATATCCAAGACTCAGAAGTAGTTCAGGTTTAATTTCTTCCTATTCGTTTCATTTATTAATATTTAATTGGTATTAATATATATTAACATATATATTAATTTTTAATTAGAATATTTACTTTCTTATGTTCTTTGTTTTGTTTACTTCCGTTAGGCTGGTGAAGTCTCCATATCCTTTAAAATGTCTCCTGTATTGACAGCATGTTCAGCCACCTCCGATTTCTGAACATATACGTTCTTACAAGAGGTTTTGAGTTTGGATGACGTCTTCTATATGGACCGGCAAGTGTATCGCCTCCTCCAAATATATATCACCGTATGAGCACAAAACCTCCAAGAGCCCTTAGCCTCCGGCGATCGACATTGTGGCCTGCATCAGTAGCCCTGGTGAGGAGATGGGGTCACGCAGATTGCAGAGATGGTCCCCTCTTCCCTCCTCCTCTCCAGAGCTCAGTGCACCGCGAGATTGTACATCACATGCACCGGTTATCATTGATGCCATTTCGACATCATCCCCTCGGCTATTATTCCTCCGTCATTCATTTGTGCAAGACTGCTTGTGTGCGCCTGACTGGTAGAACTTAGTGATACGAACGCCATTACCATAAAGCTAAACAAATAAATACCCATTTACCCTTATCAAATGCCAAATTCAGGCCTCCTCATCTCCGCTGGACGCAGCATGTATGCGGAGCTAAATCTGAGTGGGCTGACTTTGTTTATCCACGGCCTTGGACAAGCCTGTTGGCCTTTAAATATGCCTGTTATCCCAAAGCTTTGGCTCAGCGAATGTTGATGCCGAGGGGTATCGAAGCGATTGAGGCTGACTCCAACGCATGCCTCTGCCCATTTGTCACATTAGGCCGCCTAATTCACAGATTTGACATTTCCGCATTTGCACGGGTATAAAGTCCATATGACTTCTCACCAATCAAGGCCAATAGAAGTCAGTTAAAATGGAGGCTTTTCTCCTCCTAGCAGCACTAAAATCCGGATTCTCTCATGTTCGCGCATGCTATGTACTTTTAAGTATGACAAAAATTGGTTGTGGAGCCTGACCTTAGAAGATAAATTTTATGTTATTTTAGAACTACCCGGAGCTAAAATTATGACTTCGTGTGTCTTCATCCTCAAAGCCAGGCACACACGAACAGATTTATATTATTTTTCGTATTTAAGTAAAGTTTCGAAACTATCAGTAAATCAATAATATGAGATGTATTCACCCAATTTCGTTCAAGGTGATGAAGGACTGGTAGTATAATTTTCCCACAATGATATGAGTAGAGCTGACGTTTCCATTGAATT